AATTCTGTTTGCAAGTAGCCCTCAGCAACAGAATGTGTTTGTGTGAATGATGGGATGGAGTGTGTTGCCTACTCATACGTTATCCTTATCCATTGATAGGGCTGTGGAGTGCTGAGCTGCACGTGTTGAATGCTTAAGACCCAGTGTAGGGTCAAGTGTAAAGCCGAACTTTACAAAACTTCACAAATGCAGGGTTGAAAACCATGGTCCATGTGACTTCACTGAGGTTACCCAGGGAACCCATAGAAGAACTATGAAGAATTAGTGTCTTATGATTCCTCGTCTTCTTCATCAACTGCAATTTTTTATCTGCTCTTCTGCTAAAACACTGTGTTGAAATAAAGTGTGATGGGTTTAGTTGCTGCTATAGGATGCAGGAATATCCCTGTGTTTAAATGAGACTGTGACCTCTTTAGGTCCTCATCCTTCCCCAGCCAGCAGGTACTGTGCACATTTTGGCAAGCCAGCTATTCTTGTTGTGCCTCTGGCAGTGCAAGTGGAAAACTGGAGAGAGAATAGGGCACTGCTGAAAAGAAACAGGTGCATCTGTACTAGGTTAATAAATCAGAAACAGGCAAACATTAAATCTAAACAGTGTCCAGCTCTCTGTGTGCCTGCATTTTGCTGTATACTAATTTTCTCTTGTTTGTTTGTTTTTTTTTTGTGAGAACTACATCAAACATAAATCAAGTTCTATCTCAGAGACTGCATGAAAATCAAATCATGCATGGATCTTGTTTTATTTGCTGAGAGCAGGCATCTCCAGACTATGTTTAGAGCTTCTAGGGGATGCAATTGAAGAGGTATAAATTAAGGTAAGACACTGTGTTACCAGTCACTGTTTCTTATGCAGGTAGTTGTATTAAGAGCAATAAACAAGCACCACTTGAAAAGGTTAAGGCAATAGCAAGAATGGATCAGAAGTGTGGCATTCTTGGCCATTGCATGTTTTATTAAGCAGCTACATGGTCCACCAGATAGTTATTTCCAATTTAGCTGGACAGGTTGCTTTGTTATGAGACAGCCCGTGAAAGTCATGTAGTCCATAGCTTCTTTAACTTCTTGCAAAAGGCTCCTTTTTAAAAGTTGTGTTGCTGCATTGTTGGCGTCCTTTCACGTTGTGCATACGCATGCAGACCTGAAGCCTGGGCAGAACTCCCTCACTAGTCAGGGGATTCAGTTCCTCATTCCCTGTGTCCTCTGCTTTAATGGACTGTAGCACTGGTTTGTTCCTGGTTGCCTTTTCCTAAACCTTTCACCCTTGGGGCCAATGTCTCATTCACTGACAAACTTCAGAGTAATTCCCTCCAAAATATGTCCATATTAGTCCCCAGTTCAGTGTTGCCTATCAGTTTGCATTTGTACACATCTGTGTGTGCTTGTTGGGGTGAGAACTCTGGCACACATTATCCTCTGATCTGTGTCCAGGTTTGCTTCTCGACAGACCTGTGTAGTTTGTTCTGATTCAGAGGCTGTGGATTAATTTCCAGGCATACAGTGCAGTAACTAAGGGATTTTGGTCCCTTTGATTGAGTCAACAAAGCTGGCCATATGGACATACTCTGGAACTACAGTTTTTTACTTCAGGAAGATATGAAAAAAGCAACCATAGGGAGTGGCCAACATCTACACACAGAATTTGCCCAGGCTTCTAAAACATGCTTCTTTACTGAGCTCCGCTTCCAGTGACTGAAGAGCAGTGCTCAGTGCTTCTCTCTTGCTTCAGCCAGCCCTTCAACCCAATGTCTCTCATATAATGAGTCCTGAGGAGTCCTGGCCTTGTTCTCCTGAAGGTCTTTGGGGAGGACATTCATCTGAAGTGAGAAGATGGCTCACTTTACCTCCATTGCTGCCACAGGACTCATCAACATCACAGTATGTTGAACGTAGTCAGATTTCCCCAAAAAAACAGTGACTAGTTATGAACTTTGAATAAAAGTGACCATTCAACACTTATGAAGATGGCTTCACTAGTGGAAGTAAGAGGATTGTATGTTTAACGCAGGAAACACATAGAAACTATATTAATGTAGTTTGCAATGTGTAAATAAGAACATCTGATGATACAAACATTAACATTCAAAATTAATATCTTCTTGTCATGGTTTGAGACTTTTAAAAAATCCAATTTCCAAATTTCCAAGCCCCCTCCCACAATTTGCTTCAGTGTGAGAGGGTTTTTCCAGACATAACACATCTACTAGCATTATTGAAATTATATCAAATTTATTGCTACACAATAAATACTATAATACATTATATACAACAATTCTAACTATCTTTCCTATGGTAAAGCAATATATTTACATTAGATCAAGTCCCTCCTTTCCCTCCAATAAAAGTTCAGAAGGAAAGAAGAAAAGATCTTTTCCACTCTCAGGGCAGCAGTGTCTCTCCTCTTCAAGGCAGCAGTCGTAGCTGGAGTTGTGATAGCTGGAAAATCTCTCTTTCTTTACTACAACACAGGGGCTATTGCTCACCCCTCTTGGTTCTTCGGCTCTAACCAAAGGTCTCATCTATGGGCTTTGAGAGAAACCACTTGTTATCACCACAGTCAACATTCACGAGATACACAGGTTAAAGCTCAAAGTCTTTAATCCTCCATTCTGTGAAAGGTTTCCAGTCCCCGGGGACAGACTCTCGGGAGATTCCTCTGGGGATTTCCACCCCTCCTCCCTGGGGTCAGAACATTTAGGGGTTCTCAGTTCAGTTTTTGCCCCAAGCATTCTACCAGAGCTCCTTTGCTCTTTCTCAAACTGCCAACATGGCAAAGGGCGGGGGGAAAGGAAGATGACTTCCCTCGCATTCCTTCTGGCCATCCTGGTCCAGCTCCAGGACATCTCTGCATTTCAAAACTCCCTTCAAATGGAAGTCCATCCCCTCCTTCCAAAAGGGGTCTCAAGGGTTTGGGGAAATAAAACCAAGTCTCACCCCGAACAGTCTCTACTAAGCTTGGTCCTCTCTCTCTCTCTCCATCGGAGAGCTCTGTGTCTCTCAGCTTGGCTCCATGCCGTCTTTGCTGCTTCCCTCTTATCTTATTGGCTTTCAGCCACAGCTCTCTACTCAGTACTGCTTATGCTGCCACTTCAGTGTCCCTGGCTGTCCACTCATACCAAAGAAACTTCCCCCAACTTTCTTGGCCACAGTACTCGGCCCAGTTTAACACTGTTCCAAGTCTCCACAACCCCAGCCAGGGGCTGGGGGGTCTTGGCCCCCAGCGGGGCTCCCTGGCCCCTCTCTCCTCGTGGTCTCAAAACATGGCTACCTCTCTTCCAACTGCGTAATCTCTACTGGTCTATTGTGATATGTTTAATTTTGCAGGGATGCTGATTGGGTCAACACCAAGAACACCACCCTCTGGAGTTATCCATTTTCCAGCTCCAGGGGAAACCCTTTTTTAACCCACGACACTTCTGCAAGGCCCTTACATAACTTGAGGCAAAACTCAGGATGGTTAACAATCCCCTTGTGTATATTATCCAACAAGAAGACCTATGTTCATTAAATATTTTTATTATTAGTTGAGATTACCTACACTCCAGAATACAGCTAAAGTTGTGATTCCTATTGCATTCTCTCCAAATAAAACTAAAATAATCTAATACTGCAGCTATATCTAATCACAACCGTGCAGAGCAATAGGAATTCTGTGCTTATTTCACTACGCTTTTAGCATGTTTGAAAATGGTGTGGCCTAGGACAGACCTTGTACTTCATCATGAGTGTGCAGGGGAGATGGGAATAATGGCATGGCACCATGAGCTCATTTATAGCCACCTCATCATTGGTGATACCTCATTTTACTGAAACAGAACAGAGCATCCTGGTTCCCTGCATATAACTTTTCCTTGAAGAGTGTTAATGGTTTCTTGTTCTGTTTCAGGTTGTTTTCAGACCCCAGTAACAATCAGCTCTGATACTCTGTGTGGTAAATGAGAAGGAGATAGGAGAGAAGAAATTCACCTACCCAGGGCAAATGTTATGCAGGAAAGTCATAGAGTTGGAGGAGAAGAAAGATACTTTAAAAAAAAAAAAAACAAAACCAAAAAAACCAGAAAAAAATCATCTAAAAATGACCTGTGATATTTGATGTGGGGTGGTACAGGAGGATAAAAAAATAGAGACAGAGGGTGGAGCCCAAAAAGGATTTAGGATTGGCAGCAGGCTAAATACTGGCCCCCAGGCTATTTTCCCATATGATGCTGACAGGTCTCACCTCTCCACAGGCAACCAACATGTGGCCGAGTATTACTGGCATTCAGGAAATATAAAACAATGTGTAGGGACTTGTCTAACTTGACCAATAGGTGTGCAAAAGACAGGATGCCTCTTAACCCTGACCTTCTCTGAGGTGGAGGTGCTTTGGAGTGCACATCAGGGAAATACCTCTGGGCTCTGCTGAGCCTTATCCTTGAACATGCTCCTGTGCCAGCCTTGTCCTACAAAATCCAGGTGAAGGGTTATGCAATAACTCAGCTCTTGGACCCATCCAGAAGAAAAGTGTGAGATCAGATTGCAATTTCTCTGTTGTAGAATGGAAATGCAGATACTAATCTGCAAAGTTGTAAATACTGTACTGCAATTAGTATGTCTTTCTGCACTCATCTCAGTGCTTTAAGGTTAAATTTTTCTTTGTTTCCTGAGCCTATGACAACTACTTAAAATACTAACACTTCAGTTTTACTATTAAAGACACAGAAAAAACAATATGTATTTTTCTACATTTGCAAGCCCTTCTGACTAGGAGTCTTGTAAAGTAATGATGAATCTCCCCAATTTTTTAATTTCTATTCACTCCTGCAAAAAATTCTCACAGGTATAAATTAGATGAGACCAGGGACACATTTGTAATATCTCATCTTTTCCTGGTAACAACAGGAAATCAGAGAAGTCCCTCAAGCAGAGTGCATTAAAGATGGCAGAACAAAGATCTTGAAGAGACCTCATCAAACACAGACAATAATCAGCATTAATTCAGTGTCCATTTTGATTCGTTGCAGATGGACAGGAAATAAGGCCTGAGCGACAACTTTATTTGGTAAGTCATACGCGGCTGAAAATTTTATGAAATGATGCAACCAACATATGTGCAAAACAGTGGGGCTTTTCATTAGCAATGCTTGATAAGATACAGTGAAAATGTAATTTTCATTAGCTATTTGTCAATAAAAGGCATGAAAAATAATTGAGATTAAAACCTTGCTCTGCATAATTCTGCCTTTGTGTTTGCAGAAGAACCCTTATCACAATACCTTTTAATAATATGGAACACCTATTGCAGCATTTGTTTTGTCCCATTATGCTGGGAATACTAATTGTTCTCTTCATTTTGCCTTCAGCCAAAGCTCCCATTTGTGATGTGGAGCATTATCTTTTCCGGTATTCTTACATCAGTGGTGTCTATGAAACATCTGGCAGTTCCATTGCTGTGGACACTATTTTAGCCAAAGGTGCATTTTCACATGCAGACTCTCAATTGCTTTCATAAAAGCTGGCATGTGTGCAATGGCTTGTGTCCCATGAAAGGACATTTGTATTGTACCTTATGCTGAATTAAAACCAGCAGAGAGAGTCAGAGATAAAAAGGTGAGGAGAGTGCACAGCCCTAGGGCGCTATAATGAATATCATTCTCATGGAAAATGTCATTACTGCTGGCATTTGAGATTGAAAATAGGAAAAGTTATAATAAACCTCTCTCATAATAATAGTAATAACAACCCTTTAGAATAATTTTTAAATTAACCTTATTAGTAAATTCATTTAGGTTTAGTTATTTCCCTGATTCCCAGCAGAGGAATTCTTTAGAGGGCTAACGCCAGCAATGTGTTTCCTTCTTTTCTGACAGCTTTCCTTGAACTCTACATGGAAATCAATTTGTCTCCTCATTCTTCATAGAGGTGGCAGCTTCTACACAGAAATACTCCTTTAAAGAGAAGCCAATTAAAGGGCTGGCAAACTGTTTTCAGAAAAGAAAGCTGCCTGTTCCAAAGCACTGAATACCAGATCCAACTACAGAAGAAAAACCAAAAAACAGTTTTGTTTTTCCAATTTAAAAGCAAAACCATCCTGGTGCAAGATGCTTCTAAGTCACATGGGGCTAAAGGAAGACACCATAGTTAAATACAGAATAATAATTTTTCTTGGCTTTCTGTAGTAGCAAACAATTATCTGTGAGTAATGCTACAAGGCAACCAGTGAGCAGGGCACTTAATAAAACCCAAACAACTGTCACATGTAGGTTATAAGGTTATTTCTCAAACATAAATAAACTGGAAATCCATCAGATGGATGGAATTTGAGAAAGTGTTATGAAGTTTACTACAAAATAAAAAATGAGTTTCACATGCTATTTTATTTCTCAAGGGCATTTTGCTAAACATATGCATATAAGCATATGCATATAAGCTGTGACAACAGCTTACCTACAAAAAAAAAGAAATTTGTATCACAGGGATTTTAAAGATTTAATTGCATGGTATATTATTTTTTATTACATAATCACAACAAAAATGTACAATTATGCAATGATGCAGCTCATGATGCATTTGATAGCTTTTTCCTGATTCAAAATAGTGTAGGTAAATTTTATTATTGCCTCATGGAATATAAAACTGAAACACAAAATTCAATGTCAAAGGCCATAATGATTTACTGGTTCCCTAAGTGAAGCATCCAAATCCAAGTCTAGTGCAGTAAGTGAGTAGCTGGGCTTCAAATATAATATTCTTCTGCAGATCAGCATTTGGCTGCCGCCCTTTGTACCTTTTGAGCTCAGCAGAGGCTGCAGATGTTCAGCATCTCTGAAAACCAACATTTCCCGATTCACATTTTAGGCACTCAAATTCAAGCCTTTTGTTTTAAATTAGACTCTTAAAATTTCCTGGAGGGGATGTCTGAATGAGTCAGGAGCAGTAAGCCCACTACTTTAACTGCTGACCAAGGGCATGCAGAACAGCCCTTGAGCCAAGGGTCCCTTGGTATTGGTTTTCCCAGGGGCTGCCCTAACTTCCAGGGACCTACATCCTAATGGCACTGTCCTGATGGTATCTGCCACAATTCAGCTGAACATATGAAGTCAACTTTTCACCAAACACTTTGGCTTCTTATTTACGCTGGACTGGCATGGGGAAGTGTTGCCTCTATTCACGATAAAGGCAAATATAGCCTGGGGCCTGGCTGTCCGGGATTCCGCTTTTTACCTCGTGATTGTCCATGGCAACTGGGGTCATATTGAGTGCTGGCGCTAGCAATCCTTGTATTTCTGTGGGTCCTCTAAAGAAAGAAGCCTCCACGTTCTTGGAAGCAACCTAAATTCAGGTGCCTTTCCAGCCAGTGGGATGTGGGATGCTTCCTTTCTCTGAGATGGTGAGGGGAGTTGGGAAGGATCTCATTCCAATTATCTTTCAGTCTTTTGCCTTTAAAAGGAGACAGAACTTTGTGCATTTTATTAAATTGCACCGAAGTAAGTCACCAGGGCACCTTCGATGAATCTAAAAATAAATGAAATAAAAATTGCTTTTGAGAAGGCTATCGGAATGCATAGATCTGTCCCTGAATACTATGTGGCATGAAGTTATCCATCACTGATTTGAATCTTCTCGGAGACAAGATAGGGAAACCACCTTAACAGATGGCACTTGTGCAGCCCAGAATAACCAGGCTGCCTCTGGTACAGGTCTGCTGGTCTCTCCTCCCTGTGCTCCGCACAGAGGGTCACTGTGAACACTGCTGTATCACATCTCACTGTGACATGTCATTTTGACACTGTACAGAATTCAATAAAGCAAAAGGTCTGATGGGCCCACCAGATACCCTAAAAATGGTAAATGACAGAGGGAGGGAGGAGCTTTAATCTTCACAGAAGTCCATAGGAAAGCCAATTTCCTAATAAGATGAGAAAGTACAATGTTACAGAACCTTCCAAGCATTCTTTCAGTGTGCCATGTATATCTTTAGGAGTGCAAGCAATAGAAAGTGAGGGAGACAAAAGGGGGTTCAAGGAGGAGGAGAAAGAGACCCACCTCTGCAATTCTCTAGGCCCTCCAGCTTGCCACAGCTGCTTTGTGCTCCAAACCACTGATACCTGTAAAACCCTGGAGCTGAAATCCAAGCATGAGTAATAAGGACTTTTTCAGCACTATACCATTTCAAACACCCACATACAATGCACATTGTGAATGATTGCCAGGATCAATGAAGAGATCTTGCCATGGCCTCCACAACCAACAGGGTAGAACAGGAACTTCCTGTGCCCTTGGGAGCTCCCGTTTTGATTAAACATCTGACAAATTTCCCAAAAGACTACTACACTCAATCAATATGACATTGCTTCAACTAATGAAAATCTTTTAACATTCAACATCGTTTGAATCATGGATTAGAGAGGGCAGGTTAGTTCAGATACTGAACTACATTTTAAATTACATAATTGTCTAGTAACATCACTGTATATATTAGAACACCTATTTTCAATGGAAAACTCCAATGTTCTTGAAATTCTATTTTAAAAGCTGTAAAACCTGATTATTTTAGTATTTTGAAGTATTTTGAAAGCTTAAACAAGCTTTCAGGCTTGCTAACGTCAGTCAAATTCAATTGCATATTCTTTAACATAGAAAAATAAATGAATACATCATGTAATTATTACTGACACCTAAGAATCTTGAAGTTAAGGCAGTTATAGCATAGCTACTTACACGACTGTATTTATTGCGAGATTGTGGATATTTCATTGTCAGTAAAATATTTTTCTATCATATGAAATATGTATATTTCATTATATAAAACAAATTTCTAAAGGAAATTTGATAAAGGCAAATTAATTAATGAATTTTCTAGTCTTTACTTTCCTTTTTTAGATTACAAAAAATCTTACCTGCGGTTTCGTCACTGTACTAACTGTTCACATATTTAATGTTTGTATTTTATTTTCCTTGTGTGACAATTAAAATGTTGTGGCTTACAGGAATGTGTTAGATATACTGGTAAGACACTGCCAAATATTTTCACAAAAATCTCATGTAAATCTCTAATGTGTAAAATTCTTTTTATATTGTACCCTATCACAGTAACATTTACAAATGCATTTTAATCCAAGTCCCCCGCAACTAATCTTAAATTTGAAATTAGTAGGTTATGTCATTGACTGAGGTACTATATTTTTACCAAACTATGAGGGACTAACTTTTTCGGAGTAAAAGCTTAAAAGGTCTCAAAAATTAAGTTTGAGTTTGGGTTTTGTTTGTTTTGGAGTGGAGTGTTCTTAAGGAAAAGAAAATGAACAGAGAGAAGATGATACTGAGCCCAGTTTTTGCAGCTAAAGTGGGTATTGGCACAGGAGGGCCATTTCCTATCGCAGTGTTTATATTACGGAATCACAGAATGGGTCAGGTTGAGAGGGATCAGAGTGGATCATCTGGCCCAACCTCCCTGCTCAAGCAGGGTCATCTTTGAACACCTGGCACAGAATTGCATCCAGACGGCTCTTGAATATCTCCAGTGAGGGAGACTCCACAACTTCTATGGGCAACCTGTTCCAATGCCTGGTCACTGCACAGTAAAGAAATTCTTCCTCATATTCAGATGGAATTTCCCATTCATCAGGTTCTGCCTGTTGCCTAATAAGTCTAATAAGACTGACACAGGTAAAAAAAGGTGAGCTTTATCCTAAAATCATTAGATCTGCATTTAAATTTCAGGAATTTTTCAGATAAGATTGAGAACCAAGAGTAGTTGGGGTTATGCCTTATTTTTCAGCTGTATGCATTCTGTAAAGTAAGTTTTATTTCTCTTTTTTTTTTTTTTTGTGCAAAATGCATATGTTAGAATGTAAAAAAAAAAAGGGGAGGAAATATTTTCCGTATTTATACTACATGCTGTAACTCAGGGACTCCCAGCATTTTGTATCTCAGCTTCCGCCTGTAAACATGTTCTGAGATAAAATACCAGACATGAATCAGATTGAGATCCAGGTCTACTTTACATATTTGGAAGAACTGTAGAGAAAAGGCTAGGAATTGAAGGGCACATCTGACAACTCTTTTGGGGAAGTTCCCTGGAGAGGTGGAGGAAAAGGAAGAGGAAAACTCTTAGATGTTCAAATCAAAGGGATTTTTCTGCCTGAAATAAAGTAAGTGTAGGCATACAGATTATTTTCATGAATTAAAATGGTTAGAATATCAACTGCAAGCAGACCTGATTTGATCAAGAGATCACTGAATTCAAACTTTTTTGGCCCTTACATCAAATGAACCACAAAGAAGAATCAGTACCTTTTCCCTAATTATGATTACAGCATAACTTGAACACAATTTTTTGTAGAACAGTGTCAGCTATAACTTACCACATACAAAAAAAGGTGTTCTCTAAAAAAATAATGCAAGTCTATATCAGGGAATTGTACAGATCACACCTTGGCTGTCAGCCTAGACATGATCTATAGATATATCAAATTCTTCTCATGGGGAAGTATTTTATGTCATGTCAAATTTTGCCTGGCCTTGTACAAGGATACAAGTCAATGCAAGAAGCATTGTACTCTGAATTTAATTTCTTTTATGGAGCTAGGTAAAAGACTATCTTACCAATAAACAGCACTTCCCAGCTGTCTTGGACCCTGTAAGACCATTCATTGCTGGTCTAACAACCTCATGTTTGTTCTGCAGTACATTCTTGCTGGTCTTTCAGTCAGAGTGTCTCTCCAAGTCCTTGAAAACTGCAGTAAGCATGAACCACGAATGTTTAACAATGAATACTATAAAAATCTGGGATAGATGAAATAAAGGAAGGAAGAACAAAAGAGTCATTAGGACAATAAGGTGATGAAGACATAATGAAATAGATAAAAATGTAAATAGGAAACAGACAAATTCTCATATTAAACTTCTGCAGCAAAATCAGTTAGCAGCATAATCAGGTCATCACAGGAACATAGTTATGAAGCCTTTGTACAACACTCACACAGCTGAAATTCAAGGGACATCTCATCATTGGTTCAGATCCACAACATGGAATTTGCTAGCATTGTGAAAGGCACATGTGCAACAAATACATTGCCTCCTTTCCTCCACCCATACTGACAGTGTCCAACGCCAAGGTCGCTTCACTGTAGACTGTGACTGAGGGATATTTTGAGAAAAGTCTTCTGCAGGGTGGAGTTGACACTGTGGAAACACAAAACCTCACAGGTCTCAGAGCTTTTGCAGCTCTTTTTTTTTAAAGGCTGTGTTACCTTAATTCTAATAATTTGCCTTTCTTACATATGTTCCCATTCACATGCCTCTGATCTGTCCTTTTTCCTCCAACAGCAGAGGCAGAAACTGTGAGGATTAAGACCAAGGACATCAATTTCTCACTATTGACTGATGCAGAAGATTGTAAGCATGAACCTGATATGCAGGTGGTAATAGGCTTGAAGAATATGAGGTAAAACCACATAAGAATATGAAATAAAAATATCCTGCTTTTCTGTGTAGCTGAGTAAACAGTCTCTTGGTTAAAACAACTTTTTCCTCATAACACTACAGTTTTCCATTATAAACCATATCCTTCAGTGAGTCAGTTTTCCCAGTTGTCACATCAAGAATTTCAGTTTGCCTGTGAAACATGGCTAGTGAATACACCTGTGGAAAAAAGCATCCCTGGAGCACTAAATAGGTTATCAGGTCACTGTTAAGCTTAATTCTCACTTATTCTTTCTCCTTTTCAAAATTTCACTTCAAAAGTTTCTATCAGCTTACCAGATTTTATTAATTATTTTTTTAAATTTATTTAATGTTTATATTTGTTAAGGCTTTTAGTGGAATAATTTTAAAATAAGCTTTCAGGGTCACTTTGTTTCTATTAAGCTTTTAAAATAGATTAAATCCAGGGTCTTTACTTTCTGAATACAAAAACAGATCTTGCCTGTGAAGCCAAAAACAATTTAAAACATATGAAATGCAGTAGAATTAATCTGTCCAGAACCAAAAGAAAGACTGTATTTATAGCAGCTGATTTATTTGTTTGATATACAGTATGTGCTCTGGTTTATAATTTTAAGGTGTGTGAAAAGGGTCACATTATATATTACAAAAATAGCGAGGCAATGATTTACAAGGCTTCACATTGTGCCTATTGACCTTCTCAATAAGAAAGGTTGGTGGTTGTAAGAGCACTGAAAAATTAAACCCATGGGAGTCAATTTAATGTAGTATAAACCCTTTAACAACCAGCAAAATAGCCATATCAGCTGTTTTATCTGCAGGTTATGTTTCAGTTGTAAAATGCAGTTTTTAATAAAAAGTGCACAAGCTTTCTTTGTTCTACAAAGCTTGTGTTTCCTCCTCTGCTGAAGCATAGGATCCCTACCTTTCTTGTGGCAAAAATAGAAGTTTTATGTTATAACTGGTCCCCTCAGTGGGAGAAGAAAGAAAACAAAGAAAGAAACTGCTTAACAGCAGTGCAAGTCATTTTGTCTAGTTTCCTCCTAAAAAATAATCTCTGAGCTCTGAAGAAAAGATGTACATCTGTTGGTCCTTTGTTGTGGACAAATACATTAGTCTGTCCACAAGGAAAACTATATTAGTCCATGTACAACTTGAAATAATCAATACCTAGACTTAGCAATTGGGCAATGCTTCATGTTAACACACTCACTGTGAAAACAAGAGGTTAAGGGCAAGAAATCTCTTTTAATTATCAGAGCTGTGTGTCATGGAGATTACAGAAATAATGGCATTTGAACATATCTAAGGCATTGTCAGGTAAATGAAAGACAAAACCCATTCAAACTGTGATGTTCCTTATGATTTACCTCATTTTTTGCAGGATTATCTGGCTGCCTCAGTAACTTGCAGAAATGGAAGCTGGCAAGAAAGATAAAATCTTATCTTTGGTTTATCATCCCTAGGATGTTCACCTCATCCACGTTTTGTAAAGAATCAGACAAAAATCAGCCTAAAGGTACACAGAGATGGCTGAAGCTCTCTTCTAAAACAAAACAAAAACTATCAGCAAAACTATGCAGCTAACATATCAGGTATTCTGATTCTGGCTTATACCTTAGGATGGGCCTTCCAGAGAGAAAGTTAATGACAGATAGGCAATATTGGAGATATAACTAGCACCTTTTGGCAGCTGGAAGAGTGCTGTGGTGTATTTTGGTTTTCTTAACGAAAGAGGGCCTTTCTTCTAGCTGCTACTATAATGATTGGTGAAATGTGGAAGCTCACTAAAGGTTCATGCATTACACTAGAATTTATTTTACTGATTAAAGTAGCAAGTGGCAAGATAGTTAAGAGCAAGAAGATTGGTATTTGTGCAGAAGCATATGAGAGACATGAATAAGGCGATCTGCATAATACACTCTAGTGGAAGTTCCTTTTCAATTTAGCTCATCTACATGGAAAGTTCATTATGGTATTTCCTTTATAACTTACATCTCTTCCAGAGTAGCAGAATAAAACAATTGATGGTGCAGTAGTAGACATCTTTTTTACATCTTCATGTGAGAGATCGGTAAACATTCTGTCTCTAATTCTCATTCCAGTTACATATTGCATATGAAAAAAATGGATCTCTTCAGAGTGTGTTTTAAGTCACAGTTTGGTGTGCTATGTACTGTAGACTCTCCACACATACATTTTAAGTCCTACTCAATCTGTTGATTATAATGCCCTGGAGAGACAAAATGGGTTAATATTTCAGCACTGTGCCCTATTAACGGTTAACAATTTCGTCGGAACATGATATTCCCATACTGATAATCAATGAGCTGAAGTAGCAGGGTTGATTGTATTAGCTTGCCAAAAAAGATATAGGCACAATTACTGGAGCCTTGATAATGGTTAGAATTAAGGAAGTATCATAAAATAATAGATGTCTCTTTGTGCATTTCCTGATTCTAAGATATTTGTTGGATCTGAGAAAACCCCATAAAAGACAGATGAAAACATCTATTACATCTACTCAGCATTAGCAGCAGGAGAGCAGGCTGTACTATTGCTGGGACATGAGGAAAGCAAATCTAGATGAAAAAAATTCCCAATTGCTAAGGATGTTTTTCTAAAATGCACATGTGTTTGTCATCCTAGTGAAACAAAACTAAGTTAAAATGCTACTAAAGTGGTGGTTTCAACACCAACTTTAAAGAAGTGCACGTGGCCATCCCAAAGAAAAGATGAGAGGAAGTAGACTCCTAAGTTCTTTACCACACTGATAAATAGTATTTTAAGACGGTTATCAAAGAAGTATTTTCCTTCTCCCTTCTCTGTTAGCTCAGAATTTTCAAAGAAGCGTTCAAGCAGTATCTGAATCTTTGCAAAGCAGAATCAACCAGTATATCACTAACATTGTCTGGAGTCAAGTTAGCAATGAAAGAGGTCCTATTTGTTTTGAAAGGTCTGTCTAAATGTGTCCAGAGGTAGGTTTACAACCTTTTATATACCTGAGTTCCCAAAGTTGCAAGCACTTAAATATAACTCCCCAAAACCTATCAGAAAGGCATCCCAAGCATTCAACCTGAACTGCTTAGGTCAAAGATTAAAGAGAGAAAACAGGGCAAAAGCAACTCCAGAAGAGTTGTATTAAGCCCTGGTGTTGCTGACCACATGACTTGTGGAGATAGAGTATTTCTAATCATTTGCTGTCCTGTCACCACAGGAAGCTCATTCTAGACCTTATGAATTTTCACAAAACACTGCAGACCAATCTTGTGGAAGGTCATATAAAAAACAGTTCAATAATGAAGCAACTGGGACAGTGTCCTGACATTTGTGATAATAAATATTATCAACAACATCAGCTAGAGCTCAGAGAAACATCTGAATTTCACATGTCAAAACTGCTAGTGAGAGGTACTGGGAAATCTTTTAGACTGACATTTTCCTGGGAGAGACAATCAGCTCCAGGAATCTTTGTGCCTTGAACATAATTCAATATTGTCTCTATCCTTCTTCTCCTTGATCACAGAAATTAGAGCTGGAGGAGACCCCCAGGTCACCAGGCTGCTATACATTTTCAAGCCTGTCCCAGTGCTCAGTTAATGAGAGAAAGTCCATGCAATGACACTTGTACCATTTCTTTCAGGAGACAATTTCATACCCTTAAGGGAGGGAAAAAAAACTCTCTTGCACGATTCTTCAATGGTCCCTAACAGCAGTGGCTGGTAATAATGTAAAGTGCTGCTGTACAGAGAGCTGGAAGCAAATTACATCTGCTTTACAATTTCCAGTGGTGTAACTTAAGTGAACACAATGTGGAGTGACATACAATCTAGCCCCTAGGATTTCACTTAAGAAAAGTACTGTGGCAATTGAATGTCTCTACTTTTTGCTTTCTTTTCACTTCTTTTAGAGATGCTGTCCATCTGTGAAGTCTAAAGCCCTTTCAGGAGTTTTAGTCATATATCGCATCAACCAACTGAGCAGAGGTAGAAAAGTCTCAAGACTGTTTTGACTAAGATATTTCCAAGAGCACAGCACTGGTTTCTTCAAGGACTTTGCAAACCAATAAATAAGAGTGATAAACATACAGGAGTGGAAAATCAAATAGAAAAAACACGTTAGATCTGCTAATAGCCATCTTCCAGTCTACAGCAGCAAACCTCCTACTAAGGCCAAGATAAAGGATTCAAAAATAGGAAAAGAAAAAAAAAAAAAGCTGATGTTCGACATTGTAGCAAATACACTGAATAGAATGAGCTTAATAAATTATATCCTGCTTGTGTTCCCCAGTCACAGTTATATTTCCTATGTCCCTGAATCCATAAACAATTCAGGTTATTGAAATGGAAATCCTATTCAAACTTACAAACGGCTTCAGTTCTCCTAATTTCAAAGCATACCTCTTTCTTATGGTTTTTGACACAAGTTGAACAAAATATCAGATATGGGAAGATAATCACAAGCAATTGAGTCTCCATAATTAGTTTCCATAGGTTTACATTTGTCATTGAGCTGCAGTGGCTGGCTGTATGTGTATATGTCACCTAATCCGTAGGTGGAATATAAAAGCATTAGCTTAAATCATTGCAAAAGTCAGAGTTGCGATTTGTATAAGTAGCACTGAGATGAGGCTCAGTAAAATAAAATATTTATTTCTTATACAAACCACCTCAATAATTTCAGCTCACACATTTTACTCCTCACTTGTTACAGACAAGGAGCATTCACACAATTAGGTAGCACAGCTTATCTGCCAGCTGGTAACTCCTTACATCTCAGTAATTTGGTTTCTAGCAATAGCCCTGTTATATCCAAACTCTGGAAGAAGCAGAGGGCAGGCTTCTTATAGATTGAATGCTATGAAACCTTTACAAAAAGAGAGCATGGAGCATTTCTTACTCTTCTTAATCTGACATATCTTTCCAGCCCAGTGCTCTCACATGAGGGACTGAATCGTACACTGAGCAAGAGGGGTCAGCCAATACCTGCCTGGCTTGCTCT